CCCAATTAAATTCATAAACATATTGCAATTTATGTTCGGTTACTGAATGTACAAACGTGTATCTACGGATATGATTCTTATGTTCCGAAATTCTAGTTTTTAATTGTTTGACCTACATAGCATTCATTGCATGAAATTTTGTAGACAACGTTCTTTTTAGACGAAGCAGGGAGAGGATCTTTATGCGCTTTGACTACACATTGAAGTTTGTTGAAGTTAAAAAAAGAGAGAATTTAAATCTTTGGTGACAGTTTTAAATGCTATTAATATGGGATGGTGAACCATGACTGTGCATTATCTCTTTCATTATCTCTTGTTTTCATGATTGTGTGAATTTTTTTATTATTAATCAGATATTTGATTCTGTTGTAAATTAAATTAAAAAACTTCAATAATTATTGAGAAGAATGTTCACAATAAGTTCTAAATTTTTAAAATAAAACATAGGGTAAGAAATGAAAAGGGTCCTATCTATTAGATTAATTATTATCCTTTCTTTTGTGTAAGAGGTTGCTGGAACAAAAAATTAAGGTATTTACCTGAAAAGTAAATTTTTTATACTAATCGAAAATTATTCTATTGTTTGATATAATGATAGTAGTATCTAAAAAGCTAATTATGTCTTTACCTATTTCTAAAGTAAATTATAGTCTTGAACGGTAAGAATTAAAGTCAAGAACAATTTGCATCATTTTTGATATAGCCTATGTCGTCAACAAATTTGTAATAAAAAGATATCTCGAAGTCAATTGATGTCTCCAGCATCGCTCTTTTTAAATCTTGCATTACTAAATCGGCAATTACCGGGGAGAGCCCATCAGTGTGTATTTAAAGTAGGTTGAGTCTAATACAAGACGAATTATCCCCAGGAATTCATTTTTTGGTATATTACAAATTTAAAATTCCATTTTTTGGAAATGCTCTCTACAACTAAATCTGTGAGTACGTTAGTGAAAAGTGACATCACATTTAAAGATATCAAACAGTATCATTATCGATAAAATGTGTGTTTTTTAATTTATTTATTAAATCGTAACTGTTAATATGACTTAAAGCTATTGGAATGCTTTTATATAAGATTTTATGTAAGAAGAAAAGTTATAGAGAGGACTGTTTATTGAAGAGACAATAATTCTGAAGAGACAATTCGATTTGTGCACCTTAGGGAGAGCATATGCTCTTGGCAGTAGTCACTATAATGTTCAAATATTTGTAACATTCTGATATAATGTATTCATGATCTCTCCACCTGATTAATAAATTTTTGAGATTGTTAGAAATTTTTCTTGTTAACTTTTTCATATGTGTCAACATCACATAGCATCGTTTATTTTTGAAATATACGTATATACGTATCTTTGTCCAATGCGACAGTGATAGTGTTCTTATCGACTCTAGTAAAGATTAAATTAGGATTGGCAATCATGAACTCTGTTAAATGTTTCTTTGAATTTAAAAGATGTGTAATGTATTTATTACAACGAGGAGAAAAGGAGTCTATTAATTGGAATTAATCTATTTCTCGCGGTGTATTTAAAATTGATAATAATTGTATTAATATTGTTCTCAGTATTCTTTATGAATTCCACAATTAATTTTTTTGTATTAGTGGTTGGTAGGAAAAAATTCTCTCCCAATTGTACTAAATAGTTTTTAATATCTTTTGATATGTTACATGAAGATATGTTTAAAAACTTCAAAAATCACTTATTTAGCTTTTAAATATAAAATATCTCATTCAAATAATTATATTAAAATAAGTATATGTTTTTTTCATGAATTTTATATAATTTGGTCAAAATATCGTTATTTACAATAAAAAAATTAATGTTGTTTACAATAAAAATAAAAAATCATGAAAGATGAAACTAATGAGAGTCATACGCTGTTGTAGATGCGAAGAGATAAGAGAAGTAGATAATCCTCAGATGTTCATGGTTATCTTCATTTTATTTTGAACGTTTCGACTCATTTTAGAGTCTTCATCAGCTACTATAAAATCAAAAATTCATCCATTGAGAGCAAGCAAGTCACCTGCAGATTGGCAGAAATGCAGCATTCATTACACTGCATCAAATTTACAATTTAACATTATGAGGCAAAGAAAAATATCAAATAATAAAATCAAATGACTCATTGAAAAACGAAAAAATTAAGCTTAGAAATTACAATTCATAATCATACAATTAGTAAAAAAAGTTACACTGTATATTAAATCTCTATCGTTCTTCTGAATATGATTTCGTATATGTACATGACGATAGAGATTTAATATACAGTGTAACTTTTTTAACTAATAGTATGATTGTGAATCGTTATTTCTGAGCTTAATTTTTTCGTTTTCCATTAAGGTGAATCATTTGATTTCATTATTTCATATGATATTTTTCATATGATATTTTTCTTTGCCTCATATAATATTAAATTGTAAATTTGCAGTGTAATGAATGCTGCATTTCTGTCAATCTGCAAGTGACTTGCTCTCAATGGATGAATTTTTGATTTATAGTGTTTAATTTCGATCTTTAATGTTGATCATTTTCAATGATACAAATTACCAAAGAAATTGAATCATGGACTAATTAAATTAAATGTTACATTAAAAATAGCTGAGTGTAGTAATTTTTCTTTGTATGTAAACATAATTCAAAATAAAATGCACGAGAGACTCCATCCAATCAGAAAAATTACGATCACGTGATATTTTGCGCATCTCTGTTATATTATAGGTCTTTAGTATGTGAAAGCATCTCAATTGATGGAAACTCATTAAATATTGAGAGTTCTGAGTTTATTTTCAATAGTTCTATAGTTCTATATAGAATAAACGAATAGTTCTGGCTACTAAAGCCGAGAAACCCAAAATTCAAAATGAGACGCCAGGTTCACAAGGTCAACTTTGTTTAAAGCCGTTTTCAGCCATATTTTCTTATAGGATTTCAAAAGATACATAATTCTACAAAGAGTTCTGACGTCTAATTGTTATTTTGATTTTTAAACAATTTTTTTCTCTAAAATATGATTTTTACAAGAAACGAAGATGCTGTCTAATTTCAAAGAGTTTTGTTAGTTTTATAGTATTTTTCATATAGTTCTGAATCCTAACGCTTTCCGAAGAGTTCTGATGTAAATAATTTGTTAATTTTTTAAAATAATTTTTATCATTTAAAAAAGGCGCCTTTCAGGATACAAATGAGACGCTGAGTTCTACACATACGTCTCACACTTGTATCCTGAAAGGCGTTCTTTTTGGACATTAAAAATTGTTTAAAAAATTATTAGGTGTACAACTTTGCTTCCGCCGTTTTCCTATAGATGGCTTTAGCGGTAAGTGGTGGTCGAAATAAATAGATCATAGACGTCATACAATAAACTTGGGCATCTGTCAACAACCCCATAGAAACATTAGTTGATTTGTGTCTGCATCATAAAGTTATTCTCGATTGTCAGTTTATGAGCCAAATTCTCGTCATTTGCGGGAGGTTTTAATTTTTTGCTTCAATATGAAGAAATCTGCGGCTGAGGCTCATCAAATGCTCTCAAATACTTATGGTGAGGCCGCTATTAGTGAAAGAATGTGTCGTGAGTGGTTTCAATGCTTCAAGAACGGTGATTTTTGACGTCGAAGACCGGCATAGCGGTGGAAGAGAGAAAGTTTTCGAAGATGCAGAATTGGAGGCATTACTTGAGCAAGACTCGTGTTAAAATCAAGAAGAATTGGCATGATCATTGGGAGTGACTCACCAAGCCATTTCAAAACGCCTCAAACGCCATGGGAATGATTCAGAAGCAAGGAAATTGGGTGCCGTACGAATTGAAGCAGAGAGATGTTGAACGGCGTTTGTTTGCTTGTGAACAGCTGCTTGAAAGGCAAAGACGGAAGGGATTTCTGCATCGCATTGTGACTGGGGACGAAAAATGGATTACGATAATCCCAAGCGCAGAAAATCATGGGGAGTTCCCGGCCATGCTTCCACGTCGACGGCCAAACCGAATTCACGGCTCCAAGGTCATGCTCTGTATTTGGTGGGATCAGCTCGGCGTAGTGTATTATGGACTGTTAAAACCGATTGAAACAATCACAGGCGATCGGTATCGAACGCAATTGATACGTTTGAGCCAAGCATTGAAAGACAAACGGCCGCAATACAACGAGAGACACGATGAAGCGATTTTGCAGCATGACAATGCTCGACCCCATGTTGCGAAAGTGGTCAAGACATACTTGGAACGTTGAAATGGGAAGTCCTATCCCACCCGCCGTATTCTCCAGACGTTGCTTCCTCTGTCTACTCCTCACTTGTTTCGATCAATGGCACACGACATGGCTGACCAGCACTTCCGGTCTTATGAAGAAGTAAAAAATTGGATCGATTCGTAGATAACCTCAAAAAATGACCAGTTTTTTTACAATAAAGCCTCGAATTTCGGGAAAAAAACGGCGGAAGCAAAGTTGTATACCTAATACTTTTTTTTTTGGTAACTTTAACGAATTTTAGTTATTTATAGGGTTGGTTTCATCAACGCTGATCAAGCCTAATTGTGATTAATTATCAATCATAATTGGTCGGTTCTATTAAATAGCAAACGCAGTTTTGTTGGTCAATCAATGGCCGATTAAACTAACTGGCATTGATGAAACTGGGCCTTATTGTTTTAACTTTGCATATGATTAGACAGTTCGATTGGACCCAAACTACTCATAACGTTTGAGATTAAAAAGCTCCTAGACACTCATTCACTGTGATTGGTAGTCATCGATTTTAAAAACGGGAAAGTAATGAAAAGTTTCTTTCTTAAGTAAATGATAATTGTAACGAATTACTTTTAAAAACTACTTTTAGTAACTGTAACTTGTTATTTTTAAAAAGTAACTTTTTATTCCCTGAAAATACATTAGATAATTCTGTTGCGATGAATTGCCATGAATATTAGAATATTTAAAAAATGAGATTATTCTTTACAAGCATATATATTCTTTTTTCTATCTTGATTTTCAGCAAAGAAATGAAAAGGATGCTGGAGCTGTTTGAAAGCGCGATGAATCTATAAAGCAATAGGAGGAGAAAGATGTTGCATTCTTATCAAGATACTTTTAGATTCATGACGAAATGCAATTGCACTATGTTAAATTTACAGTATGTTATGAAAAATGTGTTGATGTATCATACGACAAACAGGATTACAACTTGTACAAGCTTTTTGGAAATGTGTGTATGTAAGAATACGCGTATTGTGTGCATGCGTGCGTGCGGTCGCGTATTTTTGCGTATTAATATATAACACAAGTAATTTGTTTTTTTGTTCAATTTTTATCATGACTACATCATAATTCGTATATTGTACATGAAATACATTATACAAAGTGTTTTATAAATGCATGTTCAATACTTTAGTAGATTGGATGTTCTTCTGAATAGGATACCCTCCGATTGAAACTTCATAGACAATATTGTTACGATATATTGTTTATGAAGATCTTATTTTCGAGTTTTGTAATATAAAAGTTAAAAAAAAGGTAGCTTCGCGTAAAAAGTCGTGTGCCTTTTGATAAAGGAGGAAATGAGATGGAACTCGCTTCACTTAGGAAGTCATGTGCTCCTTAGCAGGAAACTATGGCCCACTGGTCGCATGGCGCGTGAGCCGCGAGGAGCGGGGATGATCTAGTAGGTGCCCTTCGGTAGGCTGTACCTTCGGCAATAGTAGGTTGGGCAGATGCGCATATTCGGTTATTTAAACATTAATATCTTGTCTATTACGCTTGTCTATTGCTCGACTTTTCGATTTCGTTTAGCTCTACCTTCTCAGGACGGGTGAAGCCAAAATTTGGAGCCATCCTGTACACACACACACACACACACACACACACGCGCGCGCGCGCGCGCACTCACGCACGCAGGATGGCTCCAATTTATGGCTATATATAAATATATATATATATATATTAACATTTAAAGATTTAACATTTAGTCGTGCGTCCGCCTGATCTACTATTGTCGAAGATACAGTCCACCAAGCGTACAGCGCGCGGGAGCGAGGGGATGACCTAGCACTAAGATATTATAAATGTGAGTATTTGCATATCTTTATTCCTCGCCATTTTTCCTCCTTTCCCCACTCCTTGCTTTATTCCCGCCGCTGAGTTGAAAAGGTATATAATCGTTATGATTGTTATAGGTTATAATCGTTACAGTTGTTATAGGTTATAGTTTCTAAGCTGTTGGAAATCTTGCAGTTTCATATTTATGTATTTCCGCATTTTGAAATTTTACTATAAAAGACGAAAAGGATATAAAAAACTGAAATATTATATATTAACGAAGGCAAAAAATTTATAAAGTGCCTTGTTGCGATAAATATATCAAGTAGATCAAAAAAAGGTATTCGATTATTTAAATTTAAATTGCGGATAATATTCGTCGACAACTTGTTGTTGTAAAATAAATATATGACTTGTGAATAAACATCACTACATTTCCACAGATGAGAAATTTCAATCCCTTTCTTCAAATTGACATCTTATCTAGAAATAACCTGAACGTCAGACTCTTCAGGTCTTGCACTAATATTAGGATAGATATTCAACTGATTTTGAGAGCAAAAATGGAATGAAAGGAATTACAAAATTCCAAGCAGCAAATACAAATTATAACCTGTAATGACCATAACGACACAGCTCAGTGATGGAATGGGGACAGAGTAAGAAATAGGAAAAGGAATAAAAATGGTGAACGTGAAAACGTTCTAGTGCTCTACGTTTCTAGTGTTCTACTAACACGCGCGTCGCGCCGTTCGAGCTTAGAAGCTTGCGGCAATGAGTGGGGCGCTTGCCTCATTCCCCACGTGCCAAGCTATTGATGGCGGATATTCGCTTTATGGTAGAATTAATATCTTGATTACGAAAATTGGGAAATGATCAAGAACTATTCGAAAAAACTCAGTTTAGTTCGTCCTGAAGCGCACATGTACATACAGAAAAATGTTACATAAATATTACTTGTTTCAAGTAAATAATAAGAGTATTTTAAAATTATATTATCAAATAAATATTCTTTGTAATGATATAATCTCAAAAGAAAAAGAATAAAAATTGCGTTCTCTTTTAGCACTAGAATAATATTTTTCTACATTTTTCTACATTATCGCTCATGGAAATTCGGACACCCACATAAATTTCATCGTGTAAAATCGTGTAAAAAATTAAGACAAAACAGCAAATGTATTTTTATTTTATTAATATTAATTATTTTTGAAATATATTTTAGATCTTGTACACATACTAGTAATTCCAAAAGTTTTATAAATTATTTTTAATTTTATATGCCAAAATTGAATTAAAAATAATTTATAAAGCTTTTGTTAGCTATCCCCTATTTATGGATAGGCTGGCAACATACACTGTAACAGAGCCTATATTTGTATTCTTTGATCGAATTTTTGTTCTTCTTCTTTTAAATAACGATTATAACATTACAAAGAAGATTATCTTGATAATATAATTTTAAAATACTTATTATTTACTTGAAACAAATAATATTTATATAACATTTTTCTGTATGCTCATCAGAATGAACTAAACTGAGTTTTTTCGAACAATTCTTAATCATTTCCCAATTTTCGCAATCGAGATATTATTTCTAAAGTGCGGAATATCCGCTATGGATAACTTGACGCACGGAAAGTGGAGCAAGCGCCTTGCTTACCGCGAGCCTCTAAGCTCGAACGGCGCGTCTGTTATCGGTGCACTTAGTGGGCCGAACTTTCGCCAATAGTAGGTCGAGCGGACGCGCGTATTCGGCTATCTTTAAACATTAACATCTCATTAACTGTTGCGAGCATTGCAAAATAGTAAAGGACTCTTCGACTCAGTTTTTTCTGCTCTACCTGCTCAAGACGGATGGGGTCATAAATTGGAGCCATCCTGTTACTTTTTTAAATTAACTATACTTAAGTACATAAATATATATATTTAAAAAATTATGTTTTAAGAAA